GGGCTGCTTGCTAGGAGGGCCTGACTCCTGCTGCCTAGTAAGATTGGGGAAGGGGACTAGAACTCAACATCTTCCCCTTGTCTGCTCCTGGGAGGTCAAGACCGCTGTCCATCCTTTATTAGTAACTAGTTTTGTCGAGAGGTGCAGCATTTCCCTCGAGTACTTGCATGCTCATAGGTACGCATGCTTATAGGTATGCATGCACACCAGCACCTTGACTCCCACCAGGACAGTGGTTCTTTAGTCCCCACTGATGTCCATTTTCAGAATGGCCTCCACCTACGTGCACAACTTCATCCACCCAATTTTTTTGCCCTGTAGGAGAGACAGTGATCACGCCAGGCTCCCCAAATACAAACTTTTAAATTTCGGAACTCTCTGAAGCATCACCCGCATCTCCATGGCACTGAATAACTTCTCTGCAAAGCATGGAGTTAGGAGAACCACAAGTTGAGGACCTTGGGAGAAGGGGTGATGAGGGGCTAGCCTGTTCTTCAGCCTCCTCAGAAACCGTCCTTGGATTAAAAACTATGAGAAATAAAAGTACAGCTAGGTCAATGAAGGACCCAGAAGGAAAGTGGCAGGGGACCAAGGAGCTGTAAGTTGCTCTTCCTCTGTTAACTGCCCTGGTAAGTCGGGCAGGAGGGAAAAGTTGTCTGGTCAAATTCCAGAGATTTCTGAAGATTTTGTTCCTGGAGCTATAGGAACCAGGATTCCCTCCTCAGACTTACAAGGGAGTCTGGGAAAATTTCATCACCATGCTGCAGTATCCCCTCCAGGAGCCATCTATGGCTCTGAAAAATCTTTAAGGTGAATGTCAAATGAAGCAGGCTTTCTGGGGCATTCTAGCTGAGTTCCTGAAGACTAGGAGGGCCATTTTCTTCAGAAGGCCTACCCAACTTAGGGAATAAGAAAAGGCCCTGAGGCTCTAGTCTCCCTATTTCCACTAGTTTGGCCCTAGTTGGAGAGACTGGTAGATGTGCCTGATTGACCCACCAAGACACTGAACTGATTAGCCTCTTCTGTGGTTTCAGTTGATAGAACCCAAAGGTAGCTTTCTACTTGGGAAACTGGGTACTCAGCGTATGTCAGCTCACTAGAACCCTGTGTAGGAAACTGCCAGGCCTGGTTATAAGAAAAGGCTGAGAGATCACCTCCTCCCCTCCCCCGCATCCACACCCATAAACCAGACATGTCTCCCAGGAAGCAGGTGTCCCTGGAGACAGAGTACGACAATCTGTCTATGGGAGTATTTGTGACCTTTTTTCTTTGCTTGTACTTATGGGGCTCCTAGGAAGGGGCCAGGAGAGGGAATACCCAAATTTCCCTGGAGAGAGGGAAAAGCCAAACCGATTCGTTTTTCTGTGTGTTCTTACCTCTGTATTTCCTTGTAGCCCTGCTGGCGAAGCAAGCTGGCTTCCCCATGTCCAGGATGCTATTCCTCACCCTTGTGTATACCCAGGCTGGCAAACTCTGGAGCCTCTGGGCTCTGAAACTAGACAATGATCATTAAACCTGGCTTGAGTCTCTGTTCTGGCATAGTCTGCGACTGATTTCTCTTTTCAGCCTGTGGATGGGGTTCAGTGTACCTCAGAAGAGTGTGGCCTGTGTGAGGAGAGAATATTTAAATGCCGTTACAAGGGCATGGGTAGAATCCATAACCAGGAATTAAGATTGACCAAGGGTCGGCAAACTTTTTCTGTCAAGAGCCAGACAGTAAGTATTTAGGCTTTGCAGGCCATTCAGTCTCTGTGACAACTGCTTAGCTGTGCAGATGTAGAGGAAGGCGGCCCCAGATAGTACATAGATGAATGATGGGGTTCTGGGCCAATCGAATTTTATTTATGGACATTGAAATTTGAATTTCATGTAATTTTAACATGTCTTTTGAGTTTTTTCAACCATTTAAAATATAGAAACTCTTATTAGCTTACAGACCAAGCCAGGTAGCAGGCTGGTTTGGGCCAGCAGACCACAGTTTGCCAACCCAATAGGTAGGTTCTCAAAAGAAATGTCACTGACACTTTTGTAGGAGAGCGCTTTGGAGTTCCATGACATGGGGCAAGAGCCTGTAGATAATGAAGGCTTCCTGGATCCCTGGGGAGGAGGGTGACCTCCCTGCAGAGTTCTCTTAAAAGTCTGGCTCAAGCCTACTAATTGTATTATGGAAAAATACCCGGACTAGATTAGAAGAAATGGTGGCGAGCAGCTCACTTTCACAATATTTTTATTATTATTGGTATATTTTCATGTTGTAAACGGTAACCACCTTAGTTTGGCTGAGAGTTGATTCATCTAATGAGCTTAAGGTTAATATTCCTTGACAGTTAATGTACCCTAGGCTGTACAATGGACAGAAAATCAGCACCCTACTTTCTCGGTACAGACACAGCCCACCAGAAATTGGACCGGATTCTACTGAACCCTGAACATGCAAACTCTTTGGCCCCTCTCTTGGTACTTCTGGAAGGGGGCTGTTATAGTAGATTCCAAAAGGAGAGGAAATGGTTTAAGGAAAAAAGATATCAAAAGAATCTGAATTTGAATAATTACCTAATTTCTTACATTGATAAAATCTTGACGAGATGGCAGCCCTCCTGTCTGGAACGTTGTCCTTTTCTCATCAGGAGGAACAACCAAAGTGGTGAGGGATGGAAACGGCTTACAGCCAGCCACATCAGTCAAATCAACCTTGACAGTCAATGAAAGGACAGATGTTGATGCCAGAGTGCCCCCATAGTCTAAATTTATAAGCATTTTTCATCTTTTCAAAGCAGTTTTTGCTATGGCTGAGTTTGGCCAAGAGGGTGAAGCTGGTAAAAAGAACGGGTCTGGGGCAAACTACTAGGAGTGTCCCTGTGGCCTGTGCCAAGCCCGGTCTCTGGGCCTGAAAAGTTTTGATACTCCTCTCTCCAAGGAAGTCCATGGCTATCTCCCCCCAACCCACCACCACAGGAAGTTCCCTAGATTCTGGCCAAGATGTGCAATTTTGTTTGCCGTGTCTTGCAGCATTTTCCCTAGTTCCTGTTAGGTGGCATTTCAGGGGAGTGGATGAGGCTAATGTGACAGCTGCTTTTGAGCATAGAAGAGGATCGGCCAGCCTAGTCTCTCTTCTTCCTCTCTCTCAACTCCTTCCCTTTCTGCAATTGGGAGTTCTTGTACCACTTATCTTGTCTCCCAGGAAACCACTGGGGAAGCTTCCCTTTCCCCACCCACACTGCAGTCAAGGCTCAGGCCTGTGCAGTAGGATGGTTGGCTTTCCTGGTCTGCCTACAATGAGCTTATGCTGGATGCTTCCTCCCGGGGACTGAGTAAGGAAGGCTCAAGCAGTTGCCACGTCAAACCCCTTCAGATTTATACCCGGGTTGGGTGGAAAACACAGCAAGTGGTAAAGATCTCAGACCTGCCCTGAGGCCTTCTAGTCTACGTCAGCCTGGTTACTGTCCCAAAATCCCAGAGGGCATGGAACCATGCCTTACAGGACCAACCTTCAGTGAGCCAGGATGTGGAGCCCTGCCAGGGGACTTCTAGGCACCCTACAGTGCTGGAAAGCATACGGTCAGAGTCACGGACCCCAAAGTTGGGGGTGGAGTGTGCATGCATGTGCAGGTACGCACACATGCATGGAGGTTGGGGAGCACTGTAGCTAGAGAGAACTTTGTGCTGCTCCCCCCCCCACCTCCCAGTGCTCCCCACTTGGCACAGTTAGCTTTTGTGTAGGTCTAAACAGAAAGATCTAGCCCAGGCCTGGGTATCCTTAGAAAGCACCATGAGATAACTAGGAATCTGCCTCAAAGAGAGGGGTACTGGGGACCCCTCATGTATACTCTGAGACAAAGAGTTGAATTCTCTGATACCACAGAATAGCCTGAAGTAGTAGCTACTTAACCTGCTTTCAGCAGAGGTTTTAAAAATCACCTGGGATATCCTGACAAAAGCAGGTAGATTAAAAACTGGGGCTCTTATTCCCTGTACAGCAGTGACTAGCCGAGCCTTTTGGGTGGGTGGGTGGGGGGAAGGTTGTCTTGAGGTCATCTGTGTCTGCTTTGAGCTTAGCCGGGTGCTGGAGACGGCCTATGTCAGACAGCCCTCCAGGGCAATTCTGGGGCACATCCTGCCCGTCAGCTGTGTCTTCCCTGTGCCTGTGCTGCTAAGAATTGCCCACAGTGCCTGATTAGTGTTTCATTCCTGGATCCCAGGGAAGAAAAAATTCAGATAAAAAGACGAATACTGAAGCCTCTGTGCTGCTGTTATTCCTGCCTCTCTTCTGTCCACTCCAGGCAGACTGCAGGCTGTTCTCAGACAAATGGAATGGAAAGTATCCTTCCCCTAATTTAAAATTTAAACAGAACTGCTTTCATGGCGCGCGCGGCGTGTGTGTGTGTGTGTGTGTGTGTGTGTGTGTGTGTGTGTGTGTGTGTGTGTGTGTGTGTGAGGAGGAGGGGACTGTGATCCTACTCCAAGAATCTGAAACAAGGAAAGAAAAACCCGCGGACAAGCCTGGCCTGAGGGCCTGAGCAGGCATGGCTCAGCCTGTGGACGGGGGCCAGGTGGCAGTGCTGTGTCCTTTACGGCTGCTCTCCCCTCCCCATCCTGGCTTGTCCATCAGAAGAACAGAAATGGGTAGGACAGATTTACATGGACTTGTGACCAGCAGCCCCAGACCAGCCAGCTCCAGGAACTCCAGGCTGGACTGAGGGGATAACCGCATTGACTCCCAGATTTCCCAGTAACCCCATGACTTGAAAACACCCGACAGGCAGCACTTAGGGCAACCTGCACTAGAGTCATAGCCTGGGTGCCATTCCTGGGAGGAGTGGATGAGAGCTGACCTTGCATCTGGAAGGAGGAAATGTATCTGTGTTCTCTTGTGATGGCCAGCAATACAACCCCTCTGAGACCTGGGTCCCCTAAGCATCATTCTCCATAACTGTTTACTGACTTCGTCAGAGAATCAGACAGCCCAGAGCCAGGCGGAGTGAGAGAGAGGAGGACAAGAACATAGTAACACCACCTGTTCACATGTGTTTAATGCTTTGAACTTTCCAATGCCAGTTAACATGCATTCCATCATCTCACCCTCACAACAGCCCTGTGAGGTAGGTCGAATGGTAAGTGATTTGCTCATGGCCGTGCCGTTGTTAGGGGCTGAGTAAGCCCGCACTGCAGGTTTCCTCTTTCTCAGGTCAACACACTTGTCACTCCATGACGCACAGGCTCTTTATGCCAACCAGACACGGCCTGTGGAAGCCTCCCTGCTCCCTAAACCTGCAGAGGACCACCAAAAAGGCTGAGGTCGGGTATGAAAACCAGGGGTGTGCTCTGGAGGCCAGAACAGGTAAACAGAAGGGAAGGCAGGAGTACTAGTGGGTCAGGTCAACAGTCACCACTGCTACTACCACTGTCAGCGGGGCATGCACTGTGCTCCCTGCATCTTGACCTTTGTCAGGTGAAAAGGCCTTATTTGTTTACTCAGAGGAATCTCAGGACCCACTCCCAGGGGAAAGAAGCTCAAACCATGGCTGGGAGGTGAGACTCCTGACCCCTCCCCCCTCCCACAGTGCTTCCCATCTGAGAGACTGCAGCCCAGGAAGAGGGGGAAGGTGAGCACTGGCTGACTCAGCCTGCAAGTGCTTAGAGATCTGGAGCCGAAAGGCCCAGCGCTGTTCAGCTAATGATTATTATTAACTCTGAACAGGCCTTGGCACAGCAGCCAGCTGGCTCAGGGAGGATGCCCAGATCTCCCACAGTGAGGTCTTAAAAACAAGACCCATGGCAGCCGTGCACGGGGGTGGAAGGGTGGGGACAATGAGAAAGAAGGGACAGGCCAGTATCAGGGAGTGGGGTGGGACAGTCTGCCCGGTGAGAGAGTGGAGAGAGAGGAGGCACAGGCTGGCAAGAAACAGCAGCCTACCTTTGATGCAGCTGAAGAGCCAAGAAGGTGAGGCTGGAAGACCTCCCCAGAGGCAGAGCTCCTGCCATTTGACACCACACCCAGCTATGGTGGGGCTCAAGGGGAGGGGTGGTTCCAGGAAAGATGGGGGTCTCTGAACCCAGAATGGTAGTCCTATTACCATCTGGATTTGGATGCAAAAACCTGTATTTCTAATGTCCTCAAGGTTGAGTTTGAATATAATCATATTTAGAATCAGGACTTAGTGAGCCTGATATGCAAATTTGTGCAAATGACACGCTTTTTTTTTTTTTAATTTGAGCACCCTGCCTCTTTTTCAAAAAGGCAAAACAGGCTGACTACTAGCAGCTTAGCGGACAAGGGCAAAAAAAGGCAGCCATTTGCTTCTCCCCCGAGGCCTCTGCCTCATTGCTAAGGTGCTCAGCTAATACCCCAGATGGGGAGATGGGGAGATGGGGAGGTGGGGAGGTGGAGGAAGAGAGCTTGGGTAGGGAGGAGGAAACACACAAGCAGGAGGCATATGCAGCCGGCAGCCACCAAGATCCCAACTGGAGGATGCGTGCTCTGGCACTTAGGTCTAATGGTTGTCCAGCTGCCGCCCCAGGATGTGAGGGCAGGTGGTGATGGAGAGAGAAATACAAAGAAGGAAGGGGAGTCTCCCCAACAATCTGGCCAGCAGGGAAGAAGGGCTCCTCCTGGTGACCTATTCCCCCTACTGCAGTCAGACCGGCTAAACAGGAGACCACCTGTGTGCCCTCCTCTCTGCCCTGTGCCCCTGCCCTTCAGGCCTACAGGTCAGAGAGGGACAGCTGCGGCCCCTCCCTCCTGCAGAATATAAATGACTTCCCTCTTCCTCCCAGGGCTGGGAATAGACATCAGCTGGCACAGCCCACGGAAACTGCAGGCTCTCAGCCAGCCTGCCCCCACCTCCCCGCTCCCATCACCACCACCTGGGAGGAGGAAACACCTCAGGCAGGCTTGCTGGCATTGCCTGTTTGGCTCTCAGAGCAACCTGGTGAACCTTACCTGGCCTCTCCCCCTGCTGCAGACAGGGTGCCTGACTCCCAGCACTGGCTGTGACCGGGCAGACAGGAAATGGATCCCTGATCAAAGTGACCCCTGGTGAGAATCTGCTCCATGCAGCCCCAGTAATCACCTCTCCCAAGTTCAGACCACACTGAGTATTTGAGAAGGGAGGGGAGGCAATGAGAGACAGGAACAATCAACCTCTGCACAGCTGGGCCCCCTTTAGCTGCTCAGGGCTTAGAGATGCCATCTGACCCAGGGGGAGCCCAGTGAGTCCACTCAGGATGCTTCTGCCCTTGCAGTCCCCATTCCTGTATTGCTGAATCATACCAACCTCCTTGCTTCTGAGCCACCCAGAGAGGTCTTGAATCTTCAAAAGACCTGGGACATCCAAAACGCTGCCATCTAGGAATGCCTACCCCTGCTCCCAAGACATGGCGCTTCAGCCCCTCCACCCTAGGCCTCCCAGAGTCCCACTGAGCTGTCTCCACCTGCCTCCACACCAGCTCTCCTGGGTTGGCCATCATCAGTCCTTGCCTTGACCTAAGGAGGTCCCATCTCCCCACCTGAGCCAGATCACAGTTAACCAGCCTGGTTCCCAGCCCTCATTGCTGAGGGCAGTCTGGGGAACTATCAAAGCTTTCAGTTTGTAACAAACAGCGGTCTCCGCAGGGAAGAGGGCCCCGCCCTCATTTGCCAACTAGTACCAAACTCAGCCCCCTCCTGGGTCCAAGAGCTGGCAAGAGATGACAAGAGAGGAAGCTTAGCTGACAAGAAGAGGGACCAGGGTGTCTCGACTCTGTTTTCCCTAGATCAGAAGCGCCCTGCCCTGCTTCCTTGGCTCTTATTTTGTTCTAAAAGCTTCGAAATAGTTCCACGAAGCTATGTGCTAAGGCAAGAACCTGAGCCCCAGCAAGGGCAAACCACAAGGTGCTCAGAACAACTTTGCCACTGAGAACGATGTCAGGGGAAGGAACACATACCCATGTCCTGCAGCCCTCAAGCCCAGATCCTGAGATGGGCTGAAGGGAGATCTTAGCTGGACCAAGAAGCCCAGCCAGGAGCCAAAGGCTTGGGTAAGCCAAGGCCGTTTTGCTTCTCCCAAAACTTTAAAGTGACTTTAGTGCCTTTACTCTCTTGGAGTTCAGAAGACCCTCACCTGAGCCCCTTCTCTCCACAGTGCCTGATCCTTTATACCCTGGTCCAGGGGCCGAATCAGCACTGATTCCTGCCAGGCCAGGAGGGTAGACCTGTCCCTCCAGAGGGGTGAGGAGATAATGTAAGCATTACATCCTGAGTCTGCTGAGTGGTCCAGCCCATGGTCTAGAGCTGGGCAGATGTTCCGTGACATCAACCTGACAGACACTGAATGTTAGAGATCATTTAGAAACACTCATTCATTACACAGATGAAGAAACTGAGGTCCTGAGACATGTGAGTTGCCTAAGGTCACATAACAGAGCCTAGGAAGACCGTAACCCATAAACAAGACCCATGGGCTCTGTCCGCTACACCACACTGCTTTCTCAAAAGTGACCCAGAGAGCCACAGGTGCCATTCATAAGTTACAGGAACCCAACTCTTCATCAGGCATGTAAGTAAGAAATGACCACACCACCACCACCACCACACAGCCCTTCTGTTTTCCGTCAAGAGTGGAGGCATCAGGATCAAGCTCCCCATCACCTTTTACTTGCACCCAGTACATTTCCCCATTTCGGCCCACTGTGTCATGTGTACAATAGTTGTGTGGGTTTCTGTAGCCCTTGGCCCAGCTAAGAAGTACAAAAACCCTATCACTTTGGGAGTGGATCCCTTGAAGTTTGCCAAGGGAACCACTGAAGTCCAAGTCAAGTGTCCCATCTAGATTCAGAGTTTGGAGGAACTCACATTTCCATTTTCTTCCTTGGCAAGTAGGAGCTGGAGATCTGGTGCATGATCACCAAGGCTGGATAGAGGGGCAGTGCCAAACACAGGTACCAGGCTACACCTTTGATCTGGGCCTGGAACCACACTGAGTACATGCCCAGGAGCACCGTTACCGTAGCCATCAGGTAGACCACCAGTCCACATGTCAGATGGTAGAGCTTGAGACGAGCCACCCTTGAGACCCTGGCTGCCCGGGGAAAGAGGAGGCAGAGCCCACACAGCGCCTGACCACCCGTGGCCAGTAGTGTTAGAGCCCCTACCCAGCTGTGCCAGGATACCAGGTGGGGCAGCTCACTGCGGGTCCTGCTGGAGATGATGAAGCCCAGGCCCACGGCTGCACAGAGGATGGCTAGGGTCTGCCCTGCCCAGTGGAGTCCGATCCGGGCCTTTCGGGAACAGAAGAAGAACGGGGAGTGCTCAGGTGAGAAGAGTAGGATGGCCTCAGCCATGCAGAGGCAGAACTGTGAACACAGGAGAGGGCCAGTGAGCCTTAGGCCCAGCTTGGAGGCCTAAGAAAAGGGAAGCGCTCTCATACACCCAAACAAGAAGGATAAGGGGTGGGGTTAAAGAACTCCCACAAGGACCTCATAGGTCAGCGTTGCTGGGCACAATTGGGAATCAACACTTGAGTGGAAGTCTAGTCATCAGGCTGACATCATGCCCCCACCTCCCTCTTTCACAGACAGTGACTCCCATTTCTTGGCCAATGGGAACAGCAAATGTTAAACTTCCATTTGAATGGTGGGGGAGGAGCGACTAGCTATTAATTACCCCTTCCACTTCCTCCTTTCAGGCTCTAGTGGAGAAATACCTTCCATATCCTCCCACCCTTCTTCAGCCACCTGACACTACCTACAGCCCAGCCCTCCATGTTTCCCAATCTCATAGGTTGCAGGGGGAAATGGGGCCCTGCCTGTTTCTCCCACCTCTCTGAGCCTTAGCTAGGCTGAGCCTTCTGAAGGCTGGATGCATCCTTAGGGGCATATCCAAACAAATCAGTTGCAGGTAGAAGCCCAAACTCACCGCCAAGGCCATGAATACAGGGTGCCAGGAGAAAAGACCTAAGAATCAAAGAGAACAGACTGATGGCTAGGCACCACTGTTTATGCCCCTGAGGCTGGCTGGAGCCCAAAGAATCTGGCTACAGGGGAAAAGGTCAGTGTACTACCGCCTACTATTCCTAATCAGGAATCAGGATCTCAGGGCAAAGTGGGGCAGCCAAGGGGCCTTAGGGTGAGCAACCAAGAGGACAAACATACACCAGTTGGGCCTGGGTTCCCCATTGGGCACCTCGCAGCTGTCAGCCCAGCCTTAGAATAAACCTCGCCTCGCCTTTACTTGTACTCTCCATAAGGGGCTCTGCTTTTGATAAACGAATGAGTTCAGTTCAGTTGTCTGCCTCTCCTCCCCAGCACCCAAAGCCTCACCCTTCCAGGACCCACACCTCCGGCCCCGCGCCCCACCACGCCCTTACTACCCTCCGCAGTCTGTCCCCTCGCTGCTGGGGTCCCTTACTCCAAGTCTCCTACCGCTCCCAGGCGCTGCCCCTCCAGCATCTCGGCTCCGCCCCCTTCCCTAGACCCGCCCCGCCCCGCACACTCACTGGTTCCTGGCCGGGACAGCACAGTCAGAAAGATGGTGAAGCCCAAAGCTACCAGGTGCGCCAAAATCCCACTGCTTCTCCGCAGCCAGCGGGTCAGTCTCGGCTCCCTCGTTGGAGCAGGAATCAGACCTACCTCCAGGGTCTGCATGGCCGGGCCAGGCCGGCGCACGCTCCCAGCTGCCAGAACGCGTCTTCCGGGTTTGAGAACGCGGAGGCGGCCGCGGCTGCGGCAGAGGCTCCTCCCCCGGACGCCGCCGGCAATGCGGCAGATTCGCCCACAGCGCCCTCTCGGGGCTGGGGGGAAAGCGCGTCTGCAGGGGAGAGCCCCTAGGGCGAAGGGCACCTGACAGCTCCTGGCCCATTGTTTCTTAAGCCAACCTCATTGTACCTTTATGTCTACAAGGGTTTACGTCTCATGTAGCCTGTGGAAATTACATTTATGGCAACTGATTTCACCCAAACCCAAATTTGGTACACTGAAATATGAGTTTTCCAGAAATACCGGATTTCCCTGGCTGCCCACCCTCTCCTACCATTCCTTTCTGTCCTGTTAAGTGAATAAGATTCTCCCTGCCTAAAAGCAAGGAGACTGAAAGGAAAGGACAAGGCCTGTGCCTAAGTGAATTCAGGTTTGCGGACCAAAGGAAGGAGATGCAACAGTCTGATACTCTATCTGCACAGTAGTTGTCCCCAGTGAGATAAATGGAAGAACTAGGGCATTCCCAGGCCTTGCCACCTCCACACCATCTGCTCAGCCCTGGGAAGCTAGGCGATCCTGGGGTACCAGGGCCTCCCACACACTTGCTGCCTCCCACACTTGTAAATGATCATACCTTTTCCCTTCCTGCCTCCAAAAGAGGTGTGGTTCAGCTCAAGGAAGCTTACTTGGGAGAGGCTGTACCCCTCCCTTAAGGGCAAACCCACAGGCCAGAGAGAGAAAGACCAAAACAGACTGTCTCAGAGAAATCAGGGACATCCTGAGAGCAGTTACCAACTCAATTCAAGCTCCCCCAGTGGTGGAGAAAATAAGGCGGGAAGCACAGGAACAGTTGAAGAAACTGAGGCAATTAATTCAGAGACGGGATGGAAGCCCAGGGTTGCTAGAAGACCAGAAAAGGGCCATAGGCTGATTCCTACAGACCCTCAGGCCAAAGATGCAAGAGCAGGGCTAGCGGTGTGGCTTCCCTCCCCATCAAGCTTCTCTTCCCAGTGGGACTGAAGTAGTCTCTGGGGTCAAGATTCTGGGGAGCCTTGCTCACTCAGAGCCACATGCTCATCATTCTGTCTAGAAATAAGACTCCCCCAGTGATACAACCCCAGACATTTCCACACCATTTCAAAGGACAAAAATATATGAGCATGAGACTTCTGTAGGCAAGCGATGGGAGCTGGAGTCTGGCTATCATCTCAACCCCCTCGGGACAGTAAGGACACTCATTTTGTTACATTTTTTTCCTTCCTTTTCCATTTCTGTTTTTATATTTTCTTAGCAGCAACAGAACAGGGAGACAGTCTTGAGGTATTTTAAAGAGGTTTTTTTTCTTAAAAAAAATAATATAAAGTTATAAAAAGCGGCAGCAGCCTGGGGCCCGGATCTGGAGGGGAGGAGGTGCTGGCGGCTCCATCACAGTGGGCAGGCACTTTCTCGTTAATGGGCTTTTGACTGTAGGAAGACAAGAGGCAAGAGACAGGGTCAGCTAGGGGCCTACCAGTCCTCCTACCCATTGAACTGTGAACCACAAGAGCTAAGGCTGGATTTCCTCCTGCTGGCCTGGTGAATAAAGCTGGGCAAGGGGAAAGATGGATGCCAGCCTAGCAGGGGCAGCCTGGAGAAGACCCATGCCCATGAGTACACACACATATGCACTCAGGCCCTGGGTAACTGTTAGACGCATTACTCTTATGTGCATGCCAGAGGTATTGGTATGCATCTGGCCCATGCTGAAACCAGGAGAGCACCTCTCCTTCCCACCTCCAGTAACTCCCTCCTGGCTGACATCATATGGGCAGCTCCTAGCATGCTACTCTAGGGCTCCAGCAGCAGAGGCAAATAAAACTGAATACTGGTTTTACAAGAAACCCTGGAGAACTTGCCTGAAAACCTGAAGTGGACACAGGTGCAAGGTGGGCATACATGCATATGTGGACCTCGAGTTATACCCCTGCCCTTCCATGCTGATGCCCAGAGGCAAAGCCAATGAGCCAGACAGGCCTGCCTGCTCTGCTGCGCAGATGTTAGGCCACAGCTCAGGAACCCAAGCTCAACCTCACTGCCCAAGCCTTTCTTATCAGAGCTCATGGAGTCCAACTTCCTGTCCTTCGAGGACAGAGGTAGCTCCAGTTCCTGGAGCGAGGGCCATAGCCAATTCAGAAAGTAGCCCTCTGATTGAAGCAAAAGCGGGGGTTGGTGAGGGGGAGGCAGAGGCAGCATCTCCTTCATCCCAAAGGAGAGGGCTGGGGACAGGAGAAGGCCCATCAAGCAAAAGGCTGGGACCAGCCTGCAAGGAACTGACTCACCTCTCACTAAAGAAGATGTCCCAAAACCTCTCTCTCAGCTTCCTCTCTTCCCTTCCTTGCACGTTTACTCAGCACCTTCTCTGTGTCAGATTCCCACCGTGCACTCCACCCTCATCCACCCTGACCCTTCCCTGCCCATGCTCTTCAGGGAGCTGGGCTGGTACCTTCAGTGTAGAACACTTCTCCTCAAAGGCCAGGGCTGGACCCGGCTTCTTGCGGCGTACAGAGCAGGCCGCATCGGCAGGGGGGGCAGCCTGGCAGTGCTTGGCCTTCACTGGCCGGCAGTAAGTGGCCAGATTTTTCCGCTTCTTGGCTACCTCCTCCTCAGAGAGGCAGTTGGTCGGCAGGGCCTTGGCTGGGTGTCCAGCCACTCCCCGGTTGTCCAGCTGAGAAGCCTTGACTGGTGTGGGGGGCTGATGAGGGGAACCCCGACAATCCAGGGGCCCTGCCCGCTTCACTCTTGGCCCCACTGTCCCATTAAGCCCTATGCCCAGGGCTGTTTTAGTCTTGGCCGAGAGGCCCCGGCAGCCAGAGGGTTTGCCTTTTCCAGTGGGTTCCAGGATGCAGGTCCGTTTGAAAGTCGTAGGGCCAGGGGATAACTTTCGCTTTCGAGAAGGGGCCTCCAACTCTGCCCCGTCTTTGCCTCTGGACGACTTGCTGGCCTTCGAAGGCGGGAGTTTGCTGAAGGACGGGGATGGCGTGTTGGCAGGCAGTGGTGAGGTGATGGCCTGGCTTCCACCCATGCACTCCGCCTGGCTGCAGGCGGCTGCCACGCTGGGGGAGCCTGCAGGGTAGCTGGGGACAAGGCTGTCCTTGGTGGGGGGTGTGGAAGCTGGGCAGGCAGGTCTGGGGGCTGGGCCTGAGAGGCGGGGGCAGCTGCTCGTGGAGGATGGGCTCAGGGGAGCAGGCAGAGGGGAGCTGACGAGGTGGGAAGGAGGCTCAGCCGCTGGTGGGATCTTCCTGCAGCAAAAAGAGAGCCCCCGTGTCATGCCAAGCAAACAAGAGGGCCTCTCCGCCTACATACACCGGTCTCTCTGCCCCACCTAGCAATGGCCCTGGCAGTGCTGCCACCTGCTGGTAGATGCTGGAACTAAGGATTAGGAAGAAGGCACAGGGATAGGCAGGAATGAACTAGTAGCAGAGGCCCATTAACAACCTCATTTTAAAATCTGTTTGGACATGCCCTACTCCTAGTTACCCAAAAGGTACTGGAAGTGATGGATAAGAGTCAAGAGTCACTCCAAGACCACCCACCATTCATTCATGCCCTGCCTTAGCCCAGCTCCACGCTGCCAAGTTTCCCCAGCACCTCTTCCTTCTAGCTAGGGTCTTCCTGGCAAACAGCCAAGCCACATCTATAGGTATGTGTGAAGAACTAGGGCTTCCGAAGCCCACATATGCCTGGGGCCTGTGGAGGGAAGTTCTGAGCCCGAAAGACTCACTTCCACATGTGTGAGCTGAGGTGCCGTTCCAGCATGGAGCTCAGTGCCGAGCAGAACCGGTCCAGCCGACGGCTAAACACGTAGCACCCTGGACTCACCAGCCGGCTCCCAAAGGTGCAGAACTGGAAGCAGAAGGAAGGTACATGGTTAGTGGGGTCTGAGATGGCAGGGAGGCCACCTGCACAGAGGCTCTGACCTCCGCCCCACACTGTGGGCCAGCAGAGCTGGGCCACCCCCCGCCCCAGATTCCTTACCGCCTGTGGCCGTGGCGGTCGGGTTGCATAATGGCAGTCGGCGGGGAGGTGGAGGTCGTCAGATGTCCCCTCCTCCTCACTGTCCTCGCTGGAGGCCTGGGCCCCGCCCCGGGGTAGGGGGAAGGGGAACAGGCCTGGGTCCCCATCACCACCACAAGGGCCTTCATCATCCAACTCACTCTCAGAGGAAGCCCGGGACCTGGAAGGGCCAAAGGAAATGTGAGGCGCATGTGACAGAAGTGGGTCAGGGTGGGGATGTCCCTGAACCCGCCAAGCTCAAAAGGCCAGGGCATACACCCTGCTGGGTAATCAGACGAAGAGGAAGGGAGGACAGGAAGGGAGGGAACAACAGAGCTCACAGAGTAAGAGCCAGAAAGATCAGGGGCCATAGCTCCCAAAGGGATTCTTTCCCCAACCCCTTCACTTCCCAGGCCCTGCCTCCTCGGGGGAAAATCTGCTCCAGATTCGCCTCCTCCAGAAATTCTTCTGAGTTTAACTGCACCCAGCTCTGGTCAGCCCAGTCAATTCTCTCAACCCCCTTCTTGCATCACATATTCCTGTGAGCCTGTCTGTGAGCTGAGCCTGTGTCTTGTGTCTGCCCCTCGTGTTACAGGCAGAGATGAGTGTGTGTCTCCTTCGGCAAGGCAGGCTCTCCCCCAGGTCCAGCGCAGCCTCTGCACACGAAGGGGCCAGCGAATGAATACACAGTAGGACTGCCTTACCCAGGACCCTGACCCTTTCAGCTCCCCAGTTACGAGTTTTGGCCTGTCGGAAGCAACTGGGAAAACGTTTTCATCCTGGGTGTTGGAACTGGCACACTACTGAGGCTAGGGTACTGTGGCATGCTTGGTTAGAAAGGGGGAGTCACCTATTTCCACCCCCGCCAGGGGCCCCAGGTCTCCCCCCATGCTCGGGGTGGAGTGAGCAGCATCTTCTAGGACACTCCCTGGGCCTGTCTCCAGGGGTCCCTAATGGCTTGGAGCCAAGTGTCCCCAGGTGAGGATGGGGGCTAGACCCTGGACCGTACCTGGGCAGTGCACAGTATGAGTAGGTCTGCTTGGCACGAGCAGAGAAGCTGGGAGCGGCCGCCGCTGCTACAACCTGGGATGAGGGGGGCTCCTGGGAGGGGCGCTCAAGAGCTGGCTCCTTGCGCCCTGGGCTCTTCTCCTTGGGAGACTCCCCTTTGCGGGAGTTGGCCTTCAGCTCTGCCACTAGCACGTCAAAGTCCTTAGCCCGGCCCTGGACCTCCCGGCGCTGGTGCACCGAGTGGATCTAGAATACAGCAGGATGGAGGGGTGGGGAGGGGGGTGTGAGCTGAGCAGGGGTGAGGGGCAGCGGTGTGCTCTGGCCTGGGCAAGCGGAGAGAGAGGGGGTGTGAGTGTGTTTGTGGGTGTGTCTGTGTGTCTTTGTTTCACTTCCCCACATGGCAAAACCCTCCTTTGGGACGGGGTTCTAGAAGCCACCCCTGCCTGCTGCCCCCACCCTGGGCCCACTGTAGGCAGCCTCCCCTCCCTTTGCCTGGGGTGGGCTTCACCCCAGCCCTGGCGCTGGGTCTCAGAGAACATCTCAGCTCCTCTCCCTGCCCAGGGCCTGTGTCTGCTCTGCCCTCCCTCACTGTGTGCTGGGAAGGGGGTTACCTTGCAGGTCAGCAGGCGGGTACAGATCTTTTTGGTCTCTGGATTTATTACCCCACACTGCCTGTTGAGGTCACACTCCTTCCCTGTGGGGAAAGCGGTTCCCATGAGCCCCAAGGCCATTTCCAGTAGGCCCAGGGGAGGAGAGCTGGGCCTAAGGCAGAAGAACCCCCAGCCCTCCACTCTGGAAGGCTGCAGCCTTCCAGATAAAACTCCTGTGGGCACCAGCAGCTCTCTCCTGGGCACAAGAACCGTCCCCATCCCCATTACCACCAGGCACTCCTTTTGGGGACTCTAAGCCCCAAACAGGGCAACACATATCAAAACATAAAAGCAGTCACAGACACCTGGAATGCCAGGGAAACTAGCTGTGGGAGGTGTATGGTGCCCTGGACCCAGGTGAGGGAAGTTAAAAGGTCACCAGCCCAAGGTGAGAAAGAATAATCGCCTGGTTAAGCACAGGCTCCCTTAGCCTTGATCAGGAGACCAAGCAGGTCAAATGTGTGTCCACGTCAAGGGCTGACCAGGGGCTCCTATACCCTGGCAACTTGTGATGGCCAGGCCCACTCCTTCCTGCCCACCTCTGCATCAGGCCCAAGGACAGAGCAGTCCGATGGAGTCCCCACTCTACCTTCCTGAGCCCAAGACCATGACTACTCACGAGCCATTTTCCGGTGGGTTCTGGGGGGCAGCCTGGCCCCACCAGGCTCCTTTTCAGGAGGGCTGACTTCAGCCCGGTGACTAGGGCCCTCGCTGGGGGTTATCTCGATGCTCTCTCTGCCAGGAGGTTCTTTAGAAGGGGGCGCCATGGAGGGTTTTCCAGGGGAGTCCTTGGTGAGGCTGCCCGGCTGGCTGAGGAAAGCAGAGGGTGGGGCCACCCTGATGCCGTGTCCATCGGGTTTCGGGAGACTGGACATCTTCTCCAGATTCACAACAGGCATGAAAAGGCTACACATGGAGAGAGGGTGTGGGCTGGGGGTAGGGAGGCTGGGCCTGGGCCCTGGGCTCTAGCCCAGAGCCATCTCCTTCCCAGACCTGGCACTTGGGTGGGCTCTAGCAGGGGTGCAGAACATGGGAAAGAACATGCTCCCATATTCCCTGGAGCACACGGAAGGGAACTGCAGATAGAGCTGGCTGCCTCCTGCTGTAAGCAATGCCCATCGTCCCACAGCTGCCTCCATTTGTGTCAATCCCTCCCTGGGCTAGGGTCAGAGCCGGTCTTTGGGAGTCTCCAGCCTCTTCTTACCAGAGGTTGTCCTTCTGGGTCTTCTCAGGAGGCTGGTGGCCACGGCTCCGGGACCCCTGGCCCTTCTCCCTGGAGGAGGTTTTGGTGGAACCTGGGGCCCTACAAGCTGGGCCCTGCCCATTCACTACATGGCATTTCTGAGAGCTGGCAGGGGCTGGAGGTGGGGGTGGGGCCCGGGCGTAAAGCTTGCTGAGGGGCCCATGTCTTCTTTCTGTCACCAGGAGGTGGAGAGAGTAATCGAGGTGAGTGGTATCAACTGCCTCTTTCCCCAACCTTCTAACCCTGCTCACAGACTCACGATAGAGAATCTGGAGTTTCCATAGCTTAGATTTGAAATGTGCCTCCTTTCCTTTGAATTTGAGCGTTCAAGACTCAAAATTCTAGGACCCAGCTTCCTGAACCTCTTAGCTCTTTCCTTAACTCTACCAGATCTGCCAGAAGTTTGTCAAACAATAACCCCAGCCTGCCACAATCTTCTGAAGCCACCCCCAGGACCTTCCTATCCCCAAGGCCTCCCTCCATTACACACATGACCTCCCAACTGACCCTGACCTCAGTGTTCCACATTCCACCTTCCCTTGCCCCCTCTAGCTCCTCCCTAGGGCTCCCCTCACCGCAGTGCTTCTGGAAAGCTTGAGGCTTCACCACTTGGCTGCAGTGGTTACACACAACCAAATAGAAGTCGTCATGGGCAGGGCAGTGCCCGAAGATGGACATGTCTGCAATGACAGAAGCCCTTATCACTGGGGCTGGGGACCCCAGGGTTTCCCTGTAAGATCAGTGAGCACTCCCACCCCACCACTTAGAAGACACTTCCCCTCCCAGCTGACACAACAGGCTTTATGCTCCCAGCTTCCAGAGTTCAATCTAACCAGTCCCTAAGAATGTGGGCTTTCAGGTGAGTGGGCACCAACCACCTATGATTAGGATCTCCCACAACAGGGCACATGAGCCAGGGGAACGGGTGGATTCAGACCTATCAAAGTGAGCATCCCCAGACCTGCTGCTTCAAGTAACCACCTCCTGGGATGTGGTGGAACAGGGGAAGGTGATCCTGCCTGCCCTGGGCCCCAGCCCTAATGTGTGTTGACTCCCACCTTCTTTAATGAGGGTCATGGCATCCAGCTTCTTCGTGTTTTTGTTACTCTCCTCCAACTCAGCCCCTGGAGGAGAAACACAGCTCAGAAGGACCATCCCCTTCCCAGAAGCCCCATATCCTACCTAGCCAGGGCCTGCAGTCTGCAGCCTGGCAGTAGGACACTCCCTGACAAGTTCCTGGTGCTCAGGGCCACTTGGAGAACCTTTAAGTGGGTCATTCTCCAATGCCCTTTCTTCCTACATCTGCTACCTCTGAAATGAAGTGGGCCCATTAGGAGGGATCCAGCCACCTTTCTTAGGGACCCTTTACTCCAACGTGCAGTTCAGGGTTCCACTGCTGACTAGTTGAGTGGGTAAATATCATCTTTTCTGGCTTGCTTCCCCAGTTAAATGGGAAACAGTCTTTAACATATTTTACTATAGCTCCCCAAGTCCCTTCTTGAGATTTCTCAGATGGGTCCTTTCTGCTATTCAGTAGCATCCCAAACAGAAACTCTCCCAGGTCTCCATCCCCATAAACTCAATTTTGTTTCACCTGTGTTACCATAGCATCAGCAAAGTCACACCCAGCTTCTCAGGTCCTGCATTGATAGGACAGTCACAGAGCAGAGAAACTGCTGTCTTGGGGCCCTTTGGCATCTTCAAAGGGTTGCCCTTGTACCTCAGTTTCTGGGTGGATGACAAAAACATCTTAGCTGTGCAAAGCAGCTCTTTCCCCATCCCCCTACCTTACTCCTCTCCCCTCCCTCCTCTACGCCCCCTCCCTGTCCCTTGGAAAAAAAAAATCAATTCTGAGTCACCAAACCCGTCTGATTCCATTTCCGGTTCTCAAAGCACCCAGACCCTGACAATGGCCCCATCCTTGCCCACCCAGCATGGGGCAGTCCCCAGGGTCGCCTGGGTTCCCACTTAGGTCTGCTTCTGAAGCCTATTAACAGATTTGCCCCTTTCTAGGATGAGAAGATCGTCGACAGTCTTATATAATCTCCAGATATGAGGGGTGGTGGGTTAGGCATGCAGGAGACAAGAGGCAGCTCCCACTCTTAAGTCCGTTAAAATGCAGTGATGGACAGAACTGAGCTGGGAGTCGGAAGTCTCAGAGGAGAACAAGTGTCATCAGAAGCCGCATGGAGCGGTCCTCCTCCTCCACCTCTTCTCACTTGCAAACTTCTTCAGGGGCGTGATGCCTGCTGTTACCCCAAAGGCCACGAGGCCAGGTGCCCCCCGGGGCCCAGGAGACAAAGATCAGGAGAAGGGGCTGTCAGCCCGCTCACCAAAGGCTCTCAGGGGCCTGGAGAAGGTGGGGGTCGGGAGAGAGCCAGGAGGCAGGGCAAGAGGCCCGGGAAAGGACGGTGGGTTGGAGGCATGGATGGATGGGCAAAGGGAGAGAGGAAGGGAGGATGGATAGATGGATGGACCGACAAACTAACGCAGAGGGGGCGGGGGTCCTGTAGCACGGCAGCCGGCAGGCAAAAGCCGAAAAAGAGCAGGAGGTGTGGGGCAGAAGGCGAGGGAACAAGGGGGGCTGGGAGGGGGGTACAGAAGTGGGGTGCGTGGGAAACACGTGGAGAGGACTACTGCGGATGGGGAAAGCCTAAGGCAGGTGCAGAAAGGGCGGAAGCTGGAGGACAGCAAGCAAGGAGAAAGATAAAAACAAGCAGATGTGGAGGCAGGTATTGGGCACCAGCAGAGTCAGAGGTGGGCAGGGTGGGCTGCGGGCCGTGAGCCGGCACTAGGACCCGGAGGCGCGAAGGTGGAGGAGCGGGCGGGCACTAGGACCCGGCGGGTCCTTTGTTTGGGGGGCCGGGGAGCCGGACGGCGGCTCCCGTCGGCGGCTCCCCTCTGCTGGCGGGGACCCGGAATGGGGGAGGGGAGACAGTGATGGGGTCCCCAGACTCTAGGGGAGCTTTACTCACCGTCGGCCACGGGCAGGTCGGCCCGTTCCACCCATGAGCTCCAGCTCTGTCCCGCGAAGTCATCGAGACTCGGCACCCGCCGCTCCAGAGCGGCCATTGCTGCCGCCGCGCGTTCACGCACCGCCATCACCGCCGCGGACGCGCGCCCGCTCCGGCGCCGCCGCCGCGCGGCCCCCACCTCCCACTCCCCGCCGCGGGCACGCCTCCCCTCTCCCTCCCAACTTTCCAGCTCACTCTTTGCGCAAGCGCAACACAGGTCGCCTTCCCCTCACCCTCCCTCCCGCATCGCCTTCTGGGAAATGTAGTCTTGGAGGAGGTGCTGAAGCTTACGGATCTTGCAGCGAGACTCCCTCCGAAATTCCCATTTGAGGAGGTAAAAGAGACCAAAGCCCCAGGATCTTCTCTCTTAACCCTTGTACACACACATTCTGCTACCAGCCCACCCTCCTAGGCTCACTGCACACACACCCCAGCCCCACACCTCTCTCTACCCAAGACGCCCCTCTAAGCCGTGCCTCCGCCAGCTGGCTGGCGCCCCTTCCCGGGCTGGCGGCCACGAATCGACTCCGCTCCCCTCTAGATGGAATAGGGTAGGTGCAGGGAGGTGGGCGCTGTGAATCAGAAGGGCAAGGGGAGGGAGTCTGTAGGATGTGCTGAAGGACACAGGGGTTGGAGTGGGGGAGGGTCCTCGGCTGCCGTGTTGTGCCTCCTCTGTGGGAACCCCATGCTCCCCTGATGCGGAACAGAGGGTTGGAGTGGCGTTGTCCGGGTTTGGGAGGACCTAGCTGAGCTGACCAAGATCACCTGTCAGGATGACAGAAGGCTATCTCCGAGCCAGAGCCAGCCCCGGAACTGGGTGTGCAGCATCTCTGCTGATCCGTCTCTCCTCCTGAGCACTGCGATCGATACCCAGTACCGCCTCTTCCCAAACCCTGGCTGGATCCTTACTCCATCCATCACTTTGGCTTCTTTTTCTAATGAATATTTTCTGTGCTGGAAGGGCTGCTACCAGACCTCAACATAGGGAGATTTCTCATCAGATCTGTCATTTTCCTTGCTACGGCCTGGAAAATACCTTAATCATCCACCTCTTTCTTCTCAGCTGATAACATTTCTTCTTACTCTCACACAATCGGGGGACAAAAGCCCGCCCCTCCCCATCACATCAGAAAAGATACACTAATTCTCTTATCCCTCAACCCCTCACACCTCACCCCATATTCATTCCTTCAACGAATGGGGAACCGAATTGGAGGCAAATAAATAAAGGTCTGTGAGTTCAATATCTCAGATTTTCTTCTCACCTTCACCCAAGCAAGGTTTAAGTACATCAAGGATGATCTATGAGGGCAGAGATTCTTAAGTTGAGAACAGTAGATAATCCCCAAGGGGGTCCAGGAACCTGGTGAAATTGAATGTAATATTGTGCCCAAGTGTATTTTTCTAGGGAATGTGATTGTCAGAAGGAGATAGGCACAAGTTTGTTCAGCAAGTACCTTTGTAGTTAAGAGGGCAAAGCATATAGCCCTCAACTCCTGACAGGAAGCTTGTCTGGGTCACAGATGGTAGGAGAACAAATGGAAACAGCATTGTGGAAGCTACTATCTCTCGCCTTTTGAGTTTGCTCTAAATTTGCTATAGAGTCTCGGTTACTTTGGAGTAATTGATGCCATCAAAAGAGATGTCACCAGACTGGGGCCTGGCAGGAACAACTCCTCAGTTTGCAGACTCTATTGCTTGAGGTGCGGAGTGGAGAAGAGTGGAATGATGTTTTGGTGGAAATGTAAATATTAGTCCAACAACTTAAAGTAGGGGAGGAAGAGGGAAAAAAAATCCCCAAAGGGCTCCAGTCTTGGCTCCTTCATGGCAAATGCTTGAAGCACTGTTTATTCCAATGTGTAATAACAAGCACCAGAAAACAACATGCAACATTCTCCCCCCACCCCTGATCTGCAATACCGGAAGTAGGAGACCTATGACCGTGATAATGGAGAGAACCCATGTTCAGAAAAGGTCCTGGGGGGCACCCTGGCAGGGTCAAAGTTTACTAGGGCAAAGGGCAAGTGCCCTGCTTGTTGGTCTCCTGCAGCAGCTGGAGAAACCAGACACCTTCTTCTACCTCTGGCGCCACTAGGCAAAGAGGTGATGCCAGCCCTGGTTGGAGGAGACATGGATCCTATGCGGACAGCCCTGCCCTTGGGCGCTTGGCCTAGCCCCCCCCCCTCTGGAGGTAATGAGGTGAAGTAGTCTTTCCTCTTAGGGTGACCAGGGAGAGAGAGGCCACAGCCTAAATCAAGGCTCTTTTGGCTGAGAACAAGCCAGCCTCCTGAGAAGAAAGAGACTTCTCTAGCTTTAGGGGAAATTCTGGGCTAGGAGTCCTTGGCAGGAGTGCATACCTACCCACTCCCCTTTCCCTAGTGAAGGGCCAGTTGCTAACTCCGGCACCCAAATGAGAACACTTTATCCATCACATTTCAAATAAATTATAAATACATACACAGAATCCAAACAAAGTTCCAGTAGAAGCTGCTCACAGACCCTCACAGGGGCCAGCTTGAAAAAAAAATGAAAGTCACCCCTTTGTTCTCTATCTCTGGAGCTGTAGGCAAAACTGTCCCCTTGTCCTTGAGTAACCATGGGGACAGCTCAGGACAGAGAGGTTCAGACATAAAAACAAACATTCTCATCCCCATCTCCTCTCTTCCCTCTCCAAATCCCTTCCCCAAAATCTAAACCAAAACAAAACAAAACACTAGTTCTTTCACTGAAGGACCCTGGAGCATTTGAGGATGTAAATCTCATACTCCCTCATCAAGTAGGGGAAGCTGACCCGAAGAAGAAACGACTGGCCCAAAGGCAAAGGTCCTGACTCCTGGTGGCCGAGTAATGCACGTGTTAACTATGAATGATGTTTGGGGAAGTGAGGAGGTTGGAGGGGTTGACTCAGTCCTGAGGGGAGAATGGCACAGGGTACATTCACCTTTGGGATGATAAGTGGGCTAAATGGCAGTGGATTGGAAAATGGCTGGATTCTACCTTCTTCATTCTTCCCTGGGCAGCCTTTTGGCCAGGGAAGATGAGTGTTTTGAGTTGAGTAAGAGACAGATGGCCCTTACCCAGTCAGCACTGACTCTTAGGCTCTGGGGTCCAGAAAGGGACTGAAGGAGGTGTCAGGAAGAGGAGACACACCAAAGACAAATATGGAACTGGGTCCCGAAGTGAAGAAGCACCAATAACATCGGCCTGCCCTGGACTGGGATTGGGGGTTGGGGGGGAGCGGGGAGCAGGATAGAGCCTGGGACAAATGAGGAAACAGGCTAGGAATGAGGGCAAAGGGAGAGGGCATGTCCTTTTGTAAAGGTGAGAAGTAGAAGTATGAAAGAAGGGCCCGAGAAGGAGCAATGGGGTGAGGGTGGGGAAGGTCAGAGAGTGAGGAAGAAATGGGCCCATCCATCCATGTCCTGGGGCTTTGGGGCAACTTAGCCTCATGGTGGTCCTTTGGGCCCTTCCAATGCCCCTGTCTCGACCCACAGGAATGAAAGGAAGGCCTGAACAGACTCGGAAAAGGCTCTTAAATGCCTCAAATCCAAGAGGCTGGGGAAGTGAGATGGGCAGAGGTGTTTGACGGGGGAGGGCTGAGGTGGACATGCGCCTAGACCCTGCAAGTTGTGTCCCAAGTGTGAGATCAAGCCCAAGAAGGAGGTAAGGGAAGAAGGTAAAAAGTTTTTAGGGCCAGTATGAGTTCAGGGTGTTGGTGGAAACTGCCCCAGCATGGAGGGGCGGGAGGACTGAGGGAACAGAAGAAACTGATTCCCAGCAAGTTTCCTGACTTTAGTTTCTTGAAGTTGCAGCTCAGTTGCAATTTTTCTACTCCCCACTGAGTCTAAGCCTCATCGGGACTCTCTGAAGGCAGTTTTCCAAGCTAGTGGGCCTCCCCAGTTCACACATGGTGGGCTCTGTGTGCAAGAAGAGGCCAGAGGAGTGGGAAGCGTACTGAGCTTGGGCTGTCTGGAGATCAGTGCAGACACATGGCCTGGAGGGCAGTTATTGAAGAGGGGTCACTAAACCACTGGGGGGCCCTCCCTGCAAAGGACCAAGGAGAAGGCTGCCAGCCAATTTCCCCTCCCCCCACTTTTATTGAGCTGGACGGGTTGATAGAAGTGGCTACTAGGAATCAGTCCAAGGACTCGGATCTCCTGCCCCCAACCCTCGCCTGCAGCAGAGGCTGTGAGGGTCCGTACAGCCCCAAGAAAGATGCCTGGGTCCAGGCAGTGAACAAGAAGCACTGAGCTCCTGCCATCTGGGACTACAGCACAAGGAGGGAGAGGAAGCCACTGGGAGGGCTGCCCAGGTTTCCGACAGCTGATGCCTGCCCATCCATCGATGTCTCAAAGCTCAAAGCCCAGAATAATGGGGGAGGGAAGTTGGAGGAGGAAGAAGAGGGAGGTCCTGGAAGCCGGAGGTGGTTGAAGAGGTGCCATCCCGTTCGGGAGCAGCCAGGTGGGGCTGCTTACTGCTTCTCCACAGCTCCCTGCTCAGCAGCGCTCTCCTGGCTGGGGCCCTGACCCTGGTCCTGGTTCTGCCCATGCCACGGGGTCTCCTTGAACACAAACCAACAGTTCCCGGCCCACAGGAAGAAGTTGATAAAGCCAAAGAGCTGCAAAGACATCAGGAGAGTTTGTGAGAAGAGTAAGGAGGCATCATGGGAACAGGGAGGGGCGTACCTGTATGGGGGCAAAAAAATGGCAGAGGCACAAAGGGCTACAAAGACTAAGACGGAGAACTGGATATTCAGGCAGAGTTCAAGGCCATCACCTGCTAATGGGCTCTTTGGTGAAAGTGTCTAACTCTGTGTACAGCATGCACCCACGCTGTGGCTTGGTCGCTAGGAGAATCTGGCCCCTGGCGTGGGGCATCCTGCAAAGCACAGCCAAGGAGCAAGGGCTTTAGCAGCGCTTCCCTCGGCACAAGTGGGGCCCTGTTCCCAGAGCCTCCTGCAGGTGGGTGTGGCCAGAGCTGTCCAAGGTGCTCCTTCCCTAGGGCCAGGGACTCAGCAGAGCTGTATTTAAATATTTATTTGAAATATTTAAAAACCTATCAGCAGGAAGTATTTAGGGGGAAGTGTACTGATGTCTGCAATTAACTTTGAAATGCATTAAAAATAAGATGGATTCATAGATGAAGAGAGGCAGAGAGATACATGATCAAGCAAATCTAGCAAAATGTTAATGGTACAGTCTAGGTGGTGAGTAGTGGGTGTGGATGTTTGTTGTAAAATTCTTTCAAGTCTGCTGTATATGTGAACAGTTTTACAATAAAATGTTGGGGGATAAAAACCTATCAGCAGGGTTCCAGCAAGGTCTTAGAGGCTCCCTGGTGTGCTAGCCATTAAACCCTTCAGTTGCTGGGCCTTCAGGGAGGTTCAGGCCACTTTCAAGGCAAACCTGAGGTGGCTGGAATGACAAGGGGGCATTTGAAAAGCTCAAGGCCTCAGCTATTTACCAACTGATATGAAAATAGTCCAACTGGGGTGGCCAAAAATGTGCATACCAGCTGGACCCACCACTGCCCAAAGCCCTTTTCTAGTCTGGAGGCCTGAGTGACAATGAGCCCCTTCTCACGCACACTGAGCCTGCTCCCAACTTTGGGCCCAGTCACAGCCCTGTGCTCCCCCTTCACACACACATTATAAAGATGCAGGAGGAGTGAGAGGCAGTCACATACAGCATGCTTGGAGGTGGGGAAAAAAGAAGGAAAAAGGGAAGACAGCATGCAGAAGAAGGAAGGGACAGGAGACTAAGTGGCCCTCAGGTGCCCCTCATCCCAAAATGTTTTCTTGGGGTCAGCTAGGGGCCAGCAGCCAGCATTAGACATAGAGGGCACTGGCTCCATGTGCAGGGGACACCAGCTACGGGGACATGTTCTCTGTGCTTCTCGGAGCCTGCAGCTAGGACAAGCCTGGGAAGCTGGGACCTCTACAGTGACCACAGGTCTCACCACAGAGATGTTGGCCAGTCCCATGGAGGGGGTGGCCCCGGCACTGCACTCTACATTCTCTCCGTGGCACACGGACATGGCTGCAGTCAGGCTGGATGGCTGTGTAGCCCCCTTGACGTCAGTCAGGCCCTTGCCCCACGCAGCTGCAGCCACCAGCCAGAAGAAGGTGAAGGAGACAGTCACACAGAAGTCCTGGGAGGAGCAGAGGAACAGGAAATACAATCATACCCCATGATTCCCCACTTCTTGTCCTCTGGCCATAATGCACTGGGGTCCTGGGTCCCAGGGCAGCTGCCTCTTTCTTTCCTGCCCAACACATAGAGCCTCAGGGAGCCCAGATTGTCCTGGGAGGTCTGTTTACTGCCACCAAAGGAATTCTGCCACTGGGGGCTACCCTCTGCCCATGCCCTCAGAACCGAGGTCAAGTAACAGTGCTCCAAGGCATCTGCTAGTCAGTGTCACCCCAAGACCCAGGTGGCCTAAACTCCCCAATCTCCCTTCCCAGCCTTTCCTTTTTTTTTTCTTTCTTTTTTTTAATTAAAGTTTATTGGGGTGACAATTGTTAGAGCCTTTCCTTTTTTAAATAAACATTTTAACGTGTTTTTCTCCTTTTATTTATTTTTCAATTACAGTTGACATACAATATTGTATTAGTTTCAGGTGTACAGCATAGTGGTTAGACATCCCAGCCTTTCCTTTGATCACCACTGCTCAGCTACAGCTGGTGGCAGAGTGAGGGCAGACTGCAGGAGACAAACAGGGTCCCCTGGCTGGCCGAGTGGCTCAGTTGATTAAGAGCTCGCTCAAGCGCGTGAGCTCTGAGCAACAGGGTCGCCAGTTCAATTCACGGCCCAAGCTGAGCTGCCACTGAGCTGCCAACAGGTGGCAGGATGGCTCAGCTAAAAAAAAAATAATAGGGTCCCCTAAGGCACCCCTTCTACCTTGCATGTCTGGGGTAGGGAGAAAGTAAAGTGGGAATAATATTAATAATAGCTAACACTTAGTGAGGCCAACTACATACCAGATATTTTACATACATTTTCATGTTATCCCCCCAGAACATGTGAGATAGGTTATTATTGTACTCCCATTTTATAGCTGAGGAAACCGAGGTTTAGAGAGATTAAGTAGCTTTTCCAAGAGCGCACAGCTGGGAAGGGGCAGTGCCAGCATTTGAACTCAGGCAGTGCGACTCTGGAGCCTGCTTCTTGATGCTATTGTGCCTTCCGTGAGCAGAACAAGCCATGGGAAGGTGATAGTGGCAGAGTCCTGAAGCTTGGGCCTTCCACTGGCCTGAAGAACTGTGGGAGCCACAGCACCTGAAGGGACCAACAGCAAAGAGCTGGCAAGGAGGGGCAGTCAGTTAGCTCAGTTGGTTAGAGCGCAGTGCTCACAACACCAAGGTTGCTGGTTCAATCCCCACATGGGCTACTGTTGTGCCCTCCACAACTAGATTGAAACAACTACTTGACTTGGAGCTGATGGGTCCTGGAAAAACACACTGTTCCCCAATAAAATTTATTAAAAAAAAAAGAACTGGCAAGGAGATTCAGGAGGTTCCACATATGGGTGTCAGGAACCCAGCAAAGTCACCGTGTGTGTTCCTGCCTCCGGCTCTGACCTCAGCCTCAGAACATGAGTCTCCTCAGCTTCTCCACCCAATCCTTTCGGGCCTGTGCCCACTCACCACCAGCGGGAAGCGCTTGTTCTCCGTGTAGAGGTTGTGGAATCGCAGGTAGAAGACTAGTGCAGCCATGGTGTAGAAGAAGGAAAAGATGCCCAGGGTCACGAAGAACTCGGCGGGGGCAGAGAAGTCCCCCATGAGGTGCATGGTCTTGGAGTTGGGGTCACTGTCCTCACAGAGGGGCATCTCATACTGGACCCGGTTCAACCTGCAGGTGGCAGGGGAGGCCACCCTGAGCTCAGGGCTGTCCTCTCCCCGTGGAGACAGGGGCTCTCCCTGCCGAGGGGTGGTCTGGGCTCGCTCTCACCCTAGGACTCTTACAGAGCCAAGAAGGGGCCATGCAGGGAGGCATGTTTCTGGAGGGAACCTTGCAGTCAAGACAAGAACTTCCCTGGAATTCCGGTCAGACCCTGCCTCCGATTCAGCCACCACCCCACACTCATCCATGCTGCCCAGATATGGTGACCATGTATTTCCAAGTATCTCCAGGGCCCTTTAGGTTACAACCACAATATCTATAGTTCATCTATTTCTGGGATCCAAACCACCAGGGAGATCAGCTTCAGTTTGCCTCAGAGAAGGCACAAGCCACAGTGACCAAGTTAAGGTTGGAATCACCCATTCTCAGACCTTCTTTAGGCCCCTCAATGAGACAATTGGACAAAACAAAGAGAGAAAAATAAACACCCTAGTATATATAAGAGACAGTTCATCTAACTTGGCTTCTGTTACTAGAAATTTCTGAAAAGGTGAGCCCTGTCCCCATTCTCCTCTGAATACCTTAAGTTCCCAAATACCCAGGGAAGACTTTCCTCTTCTACCTCCTGGTCAAGGTGTGTGTCCTTGTATCCTGGTGATACCAGGTGTGCACCCACATCAACTCTTTGGGATTTAAATAATAACAAGCATCCTTACCTTCAAGGCAGGGTGGAGGCTGCTGAGGGTCAGAGGGACCTACCCAACTTGCCCAGACTCCTATGAGCCTCCAGCCCACACTGCATGGGTTCTTTCTGTAGGAGCTCTTGTTATCTGCTATTGATTCTCTATGGACTGGAACACTATTATAACAGTGGTCTGAGTTTCCCTTATATTTTTTTGTGGTCAGTGTGTCTGAAATTCCTAAAGGGCAGAAAGGACCCAAATCTGGAGTGGCACGCCGCAAAAGGACTGTAGGTTTCTGGAGGAGGAAGAGACCTAGCAGGTCCCGCCGATCCAGTGAGAGAGGTTGTGCGGGGTCAGGGTCAATTCCTGCTCACCTGAAGGGATAGCCGAATGAGACAATGATGGAGCTCACGTCCTTGGCATCGTTGTTGCAGCGAACCATTGCTCCCGTCTCCCCGCTGTAGGAGCCGCAGCACCCGAAGGCGAAAATAGCAAAAAGCTGAGGGAGAGTGAAGCCCCTTTGAATGTCAGAAGGCCTCAGCTGGCCAAGGTACATCCCTTCAGAACCACCCTCTGACTCTCAGCAGGTGCACACATGGAGCAGGGGCAGGATTCCCTTAGATCAGGTCCCTCCTGGGCAGGGACCCATGGCTTCCATTGGTCTTCCAGCCTCAGGATGCTGTATTCACTGCACAGAGTGCTGGACCAAATGGCCAAATGAATAAGGCTGACTTTGAATGGTGTCTGGGAGGGAGATGATGAGAGAGGAAATGGACAGTTTCCAGGTCTCCCCACTGGATGTGGCATTGGGGATCATAGGTAGCTTCCTTAGGATGATGACCAGCACAGATCAATTTAGGCTTTTGAAAGCTGCTAGCTCAATGATGGACTTGAATTTCCTCCCCAAGGGAGGGTTACCCTGGAAATAGATTCCCCTGCACCAACCTACATCGGGCACGCATGGAATTCTTTCCGTTTCTCCTCTGAAGCCGTCACTGAACCCTGTCATTCATTACCTTGGGGCTAACTTCGACTGGCTTCCTGCTTCAGTGGAGGTATCTTTAGAGGGGACAATTTCTGCCAAGCCTTCAGAGGGGCCAAGGGGGCAGGGGCCGTGCTGCTGTCCCACGGTACCGCCAACCTAACCCCACTTTCCCCAAAGGCACCTTTCCTTTCAGCAACAGTGCTGGCTCAAGCCCAGAGAAAAGCACCCTCCACTTGCCTCCACTATTTTCTCAGTGGTGTCTCCCTTCATAATCTGTTGATGCTGCCATTTCTCAGGGTTAAGAACGAGAGGCGTTTCAGGTCACTTGAATTATTTTCCTCTCATTTTACTCAACCTCCTGTCTTGACTGAAATGAAATTCCTTCATCTTATGATTTTCAAATTTCTTTCTGGGGAAACACTCTTTGATTAGAAAAGGAGGTGAGAAATTGGAATCTCTTATCCTCCCATATCATCTGTTCAGGCCCTGTGTCCTTGGCTTGTACATGATGTAATCATTCTTACTTAGCTGGGAGCTTATTCTCTAAATTGCTCATTTTCTGTATGTTTCTCTGTGACTTGGTGTCTCGGACATCAAGCATCTAGAAGACAACTAATTCACACCCCAGTCCTGCATCCAGGGTTTTAGAATAGAGCTGTGTGCGTATTATTTGGCTGATGCTCAGTAGTGTCATGGAGTGAAAAGAGATCTGGAGTAGGAGTCTGGAAATCTGGCCTCTAGTGCTGGCCCTGTCACACATTAGCTGGATAGCCTCTAATAAGTCACTCTGTTCTCTGAGTCTGTTTCCTCACCTGTAAAATGAAGGGTTTGGAGTAGGCTATCTGGAGGCCTTTTCCAACTCTGCGATTCTCTCACTTTCTGAGGGTAATGCTATTAGTGTGCTCTTGGCTGGGCTTGCCAGCAGCTGCACTCAGCCCCCGGGTGGTGTCTGGTGCCACTGCCCCCCCTTGCATCGCCTGGCCAGGCACATCTTCTCCATGCTGGAGCCAGATCCCCGCTTTAAAGGTCATAATGGGCACCTCTTTCTTTCCAGGAGGTTTAGACAAATAAGAATTATCTCCATTAAAAAAATAGATCCAAGAAAGGAGATAGTATAACCTCACTCCAATGCCTGGACAACCTCCTCATCCGACTTAAACTTCCCATGCTGCTGTAGGGCCCTGGGTGCTCATCTTCCTGACAGAGCTGGAGAGAAGTCACCGAAAGCCTCTGCGTCATTACCGTTTACATACTTCAAGTCACCTACCTGGTGTCACAATGGAACTTCTCTAGCTCTTCCTCAGAGGAATTCTCTAATCTTTTGTCAGTTCTGTGATTCTCTGATTCCTCTGAGGAGTTTCTTTATTCCTCTTAGCTTCTGGTGTCCAACTGGACATAATTAGGGTGTCACAGTCTAGGAAGGGCAGCACAGTTGGATATATTTTTACCTGCTGGCAATTAGTCAGTGCATGACTTTATACAGGTTCTTTAAGAACGCAGGTATTCCTAACTGGGGGCCATGCATGCTCAGTCATGGAGCCTTCTCTCTGACACCAGCACTCTCTTGACATCTTGAACATCTTCAGAAAGATGACATTTACTGAGCTTCTAGTATGTACCAGGCACACTGCTTTGAGCACCAGTACTTACCAGTGAACAAGAGAGAAAACAATCTCTGTCCTGTGGAGCTCATACCCTAGAGATGTACAATCCACAACAGTAGCCTCTAGCCACGCGTGCCCATTTAAATTTACAGTAATCAAAATTAAATAAAGTTTAAAATTCACATGATCTGTCACACCAGCCACATTTCAAGTTCTCAACAGCCACATGTGACAGCAGGGGCCATACTGGACAACCCATTAGAGAACTCTTCCGTTATCAACGTAAGTTCTGCTATGTCAAGCTGATACCTTGAGGTTCTAACAATCCTGACCCCTTCTTTATGATTCCTTTATGGGTAAAATATACCTATAGTAACTTTATTCTTAACTGTATTCTCTTCTATTCTGATTCTTTGAAAGTCAAGACTCTCTAACCACCTTATATAACTCTTTCTTAACCAGAGTATATGATTAAGTCTGAACATCACACAGATAGTGCCAGATGACAGAAAGTTTGCTATAAGTGGACAAAGGGCAAAATCTGAGGAGAATCTCACAGGTTCACAGAGCAGCAGAGCAAAAATGGATCTCAGAGTTTATCAAATGCCACAGTCTCCTTTCATAGAGGTGGAAATGGAAGTCCCAAAAGATTGAGTGACTCTCCCAAGGTCACATTTAGCCAGGCTTAGAATCTGCATGTCCTGATTCCCTGCCCAGTGCTCTTTCTACTGCATTCATCCATTAATCAACAGTTATTGAGCATCTACTTTGTGTCAGGTGCTGGAGACATGAAGATGAATAAGACTGATGCCTGCTCTCAAGAGTTTACATCCAGAGGGGAGAGTGTCAGGCCCAAACAAACAAACAAACAACAAAACCTTGCATCACAGAGTTATTAGGGCTGAACAAAGAGATATCTACTATGTGTAGGGAGGACTGGAAGGAGGGAGGAAATAGTTCTGCGCCTGGGATGAAGGAGCAGAGAGACACTCTCTCCTAGCCCCCTCCACCTTTCTGCATCAAATTTGCTTTCTTCCCTAATTGTGCCAAGTGACTGAGCCGCAGAGAATGAGCAGGAAAGAACTGAAACCACCCCTGTCACCAAGTACAAATCTCTGAGTTGAGTAAACTACTCATAAAAAACAGGAACCAAGGAGAGATGGAGTCCTGGAGTTCTGGTGCCAACCAACCTCTCTCCCCTTGAACCTGCATTGCTGGGGTCAGGGATGGTCATGACAACAGGATGCCTGCCACCTCTACCTCCTCCTGCCTCTGCATCTCTTTTGGAAGACATCAGAATAGCCTTGCCAGTTTTAAGGACGGGGCTCCACTTTGGTGCTGACTTGCTTGTTGGGGATAACCTGTGTCAGTCCTGAGAACACTAACATCCCCAGTTAAGGTAGGACACAAGGAAGACAAGTTCTCCCCCTAAATCCTACTGCCACAATTACCTCATTGATTTATGGACGCTGATAGTGTACTTTCACATCCCCACACTTACTGAAATAGCTGCTTTTCATTACAGAGACACTCAGAGCCAAATAAGTAACTTTGGCACATCAAAGGTGAATTGTTGATGGCCCCCCTCCCGCCCCGCCCTCCGTTAATGATAATATGACTTCTTAAGGGAACAGCAACTGAATCCAGAAGATTCTTTTGTACCTTCCCCTCAAAGTGAGGATTTGGCAGTGACATTTGAATAATCTCACCAAAGGACAAGCCTAGCTGACAGTTTGCATGAGGGGGAAAATTAAGGGTTAAGGGAGGTTTGAGAATAGGAGAGAAGGGGACCAACCTTTACAAAATACCCCCTGGATTGCCAGCCTTGCCACAGTCTTCTTGAATGCTCAGATGCTTTACAGATAGTACCTCCTGCAATCCTCCCAGTGAGGCCCTGTGATAGATCCTACCCTCATTTACAGGTGAGAAATCGAGGCCCATAAAGTTTCATCACTTACCCTAGGTTCCACAGTTAGAAAGCAGAGGAGACTGGATTTGAACCAAAGCCCATCTGACCTCGAAGTCTGCTTTTCTCTTGTTTAAAAAAACCTAGTTCTCCAACAATTGGTCTATGTACATGTTATTTCACTAGCTTAGTACAGACTTGGTGAGACCAGAATTGGAATTGCAGTGAGATTAGTTAATTTTTGAATTTTAAAAAGACAATGTAAACCAAGCTCCTGGCTAATAAAAGAATAAGATTACTTTCTTCTTACCAGGATTGCAGTAAAAAGTTTTCAATTATCATTACAATAACCACAAGATTTGTACCTCCCCTACCCACCCACCCCACCCCCACTCCCTCTTTTCCAGTCAGGAGCATTTGACCTCTCCAAGCAGGAAATGAGTGAAACTTCCCAAGTGACATTTTCACTGTCATTTCTGGTGCTGGTTCCTGTGTACTTTTATGTTAGCTCATTTGCAAAGGTTCAAGGCAAGTGAAACTCAAAGCTCTGAATTTAGGCTATGAGGATGGCAGTAAAAGCAAATCGAGTCTCCTTATAAGGCTGTCCTTAGAATAAAGGCTGAGCTCAGAGTCAGGCTCCCGGCCCCTGGGTTTAACATTATGAGAGAAAGGTGTATCCTCTCTCTAAGAAGTTGAGGATCATAAAAATCAAACAGGTCTTAACTCTTAGAGATCAATGCTAAGCCTGGGAGGAGGCTGGATCACTTCCCTAGGCATTGCTTTGTGCAGCCTTTATAAAAATGTTGTGGGTATTTGGGGGCAAGGGGAGGGGGAAGGGTTGAGAAAAGGATAGAGGGTTGAAAAAGGAAGCTTTTCAGAATCTTCCCATGGAAGATGATTCCATGGTCTAATAACCTCATTGTTCCCCTAGTCCTTTGACAGTTTTTCTCAATTTTTCCCTTAGATCCATTTGTCTAGTTTAATGATAAAATTGTACTCTTACATTTCAGGCTCTGCTCCTCCACATTGGTCATAATGGTTCCCTAGTTCTGGATGGCAGTCACATGGAGCCTTAATATCATTCTTATATGGCCCCCTCTGGTACCCAAGTGGTGGGTCACAACAGGAAAGTGGGGGGAGGTGAGAGAGCTCAGTCAGCAGTCTGTCTAACTCTTCTTGAGGCAGTAGGGAGAGTGGAAAGTCCCCACTGTGTCCCAGAGTTTGTACTTGGAAGTTCCCCAGGCTGGCCTGTAGCCCCAGTCAGGGTCTCAGATATCTCAGAGATAACCCCAAATGCACTATTGCCCCTGAATTCCAGATTTGATGATTCTCATCCAACCAGTGATTTAGGAATCGGTGACACGGTGCTAACTCCTGTCTCCAGTGAGTTAAAAGCCCTTTAGAACTCAATCCTCCTCAGTATTAATGGTAACTTATTCCCTAGCCGAATTCTGTGCTAAAAGCACATTAGTAAGTTATTCACACACCATTTGGTGTGTGGGTAGTCTAAGTTAAATCTCTTCTGGGATAGTACACTAAATGCTCCCAACAAGTCTTTATGATTTAAAAGAGTGACTGCACCTGTCCACATGCCTAACTCATACCCAGGAGGCCTTGGGCACTGGGAAGGGCAGAGAGCATAGCTCTGTCTCAGTACCAGTGAAGCAAGGAGATTGTATTTCCCCTAGACTGTTTCGGGGGAAACTGAGGTTCTGGGTGAGGATTTCTTCAAGGTCACAAGATAAGTCTAATGAATGGCAATATTCTAGAACATGAACCCATTTATAGCAGAAGGGGACCCTAGTATTAGTGTGATCAACACTTGAATGATGTTGGAAACTAAGGTCCACAGAAGTGACTTGCCCAAGTGACATAGCGAAAAAGGCAGGTCCAGGTCCACAACCCAGAGCCCCAGCTTCCCAGCTCAATGGTCTTATTCTACAAGCCACATTTTGGCCACACTGTGATTTTTGCCTTTTCTTGTCTTTTCTTCCTTCCTTCCTCCCTCCCTCCCTTCCTTCCTTCCTGCCTTCTTGCCTTCCTGCCTACCTGCCTGCCTGCCTTCTTTCTTTTTCTTTCTTTCATCCTAGAGCTATGAACTCCATTCATTCATTCATCCACTCCCGCACTCAGTTACAGGAGCCCGGATTACTCTAGTGACTTCAAAAGGGCAACCATCAGCGGGGGGACCCTGTCCCCTGAGTCCACCTCCAGGATCAGCCAGGTCCCGATGGGTTTGGCTGTGGGATGGTTTCCATCACCTGCCTCGTTCCCTCCTCTGTCCTCCGCGGCTTTCCTCATCCCCCTTGTCCTCCTACCCCCTCCCGACACCGAGGAGTGGTATGTGCAGGATCAGAGTTCTGGAAAGGTTACACCCGAGTCCTCTCGCCCGGGTGAAATGTGAGCGCCCCGGGCAACGGCTCCTTGCACATAGAAGGAACGAATCCCGGACTCCGCATGCCTCACTTCTCACCCTCCTGCCACCAAGTGCTGGACCCAGCCCGCCCCTCCCCCGCCCACCTGTCGCCGCCCCCCACCCTTCCGCAGCGACCGGCCGCAGGACCTCCCCGCCCCCCACTCCGGCCACATTGCTTCGGGTCAGCGTCACAGCCCAGGATCCCGAAATAGCCCGCGGCCAGGACAGCGACTCACCCACTGGAGAACTTTGATGAAGCCCAGCGGCTCCTCCAGCCGCCGCCAGCGCAGCCCCACTAGCAAGCGGTCCACCTACGGAGACAAGGGGGGCCAGGGGTCAGTGTGGTCTGGGGCCCCGGGAAGACGCTTGTCCACCTCCTCCCACCTACACCTGGGAAAAGGGGCCGCATAAGGGTGGAGAAGGGGCTGCGAGAGAGCCCCAGGGGCGCAAGGGGAGTACCTGCTGGCGCGGCGACTTGTCCGCCGGGCGACTCGGGGTCTCCGTCGAGGACATGCCGGTGCAGCGGGGTCGGGGCGCGGCGCTGGGGCTCGGCTCCCTTGCCCGGAGACTGCGGAGTCCGCGGTCGAGGTGGGGGCTGCAGACCCTCGGCGGGGAACGCGAGCGGTGGCGGAGCGCTAGCAGCCGGCGGCGGCCCGGGATCCAGGCTGGCGAGGTGGGTCGTGGGGGCGCTGCTGCTCGCTGTCGCCGAGGTCACGGCCGCCTCGCTGCCCCTGCGGCTGCAGAAAGCCCCCGAGTCCGATTCAAACTTCTGTCAAGCTCCAAAGCGAACTTGGCAGCCGAGTCACGTGGCGTGCGCTCGGGAACCCTCCTCCCGCCCCCGCTCCCGGCTCCCCTGTCTGCCCGCAGGGCGCCTTAAAGGGACCTGTGGCCTCTGTGTGCAGTTCGGCCACAAGGGGGCTCAAGTTCTTTGCCAGATTTCAGGGCCAATCCCAAGGGAGACCCGCAGGGCCATTCCAACCCACTGCCAAAGTCTGGAACTAGCCTGACTCTCTGGGATGCACCTGTTCCTAGCTTATCTTTCCCTCTTTCCCTGGATTTGGAGTTGTTTTTCTCTTCTTCCATACCACAGTGCCCAGAACCTTAAGGATTTTCGTAAGGTAGTATCAGTGCTGAAACAAGGTTCTAAACCTTACGGTTTACAAACTGCTTGTTTCCAAAATTTTTGAGAGCCAGTACAGATGAAAAGGGCCATAGAATACACGTTGCTCACTTTTTATTCTGTCTAGTTAGGCGTTGCTTTGAATTTTTTAAGCAACAAAATACATTTGTATGTAATGATTTAAAAGTTATTAATTTTTTTAAAGTATAAGCTTCAACCTCCTTTAAAATAGCCATCACCATTTAAATGAGTGAAAATAAAGTCTGAAGAATGGAAGGTTCAGAGAACGCAATTTGTATTGAAAAGTTGACGTTGTTGCATTATGATCGACCTTAAATCGGTCCCTAGCTTTCAAAAAGTGTTGGGCGGGAGCCTCCAGTGAACAGCCATGAGTTTTACACGTTCAGGTTACCGCATTGTAAATGTAAGTAGTGAAAGGTTAAGTGATTTGTCCAAGGTCACTGACTGAGCCAGTAGGCGGTGCCTGGTGGAGCGAGCCGGCCTGCGCCTCATATCCACCTCCTCACAGTTTCTTGGCGGTCCCCTCTGATACTTCAGAAGGACTGCTTTTTGAAGAAACATTTACTTATTATTAACCAATTCATTCCCCCGTTGAGTAAGTGCCTTCCCAAGGTTGGGGTTAGGAGGGAGTGGCTGGGATCAGGTCGCCTGGACTGGATGGAAACTTCTCCAGTAGATTGCCCTGAGAATCAAGGCTAAATAAGGAACAACTGAGTCCCCAATCCAACTCTTAATAAATTGTTCTGCAGTCTTATTCTATGGAATAAGGATAATAATTTGTGTCCTACTTACTGCATAAGGTTGTCATGAGGGTTAAGTGGTACGATGTGTGTAAATGTCCACACTGCACAAATATAAAATAATACTTCTTACCAATGTCTACAAAAATATGCATTCAGAATACAACACAATCAGAAAAGAATCAGAATAATACAGCAAAAATCCACATACCACTAACCGGGCTTATTAACTCTTTGCTTTGTCTGTCTCACATCTATTCTTTCAAAACAAAATGAAAATTGTATAATATCTAAAATCAAGCCTGCTTGTACCTTCGAATCATTTCCTCTCTCTCTCTCCTTCCTCCCCAGAAGTAACCACTATCCTCTCCTGAATTTGTTTTCTATGAGCTTCATGCATATTTTAACACTTTTACTCTCTATATAACTATATCTAGAAACAATACATAGACATTCACCACAGTACTTTTTCAGATTGTTTTAAACTTTATCTAAATGTTATGCTTTAGGTAACCTTATTAAACTTGCTTTTTTAGGTAATGTGTTTACGAGAGTCATCTAGCCTGACGTATGTGCCTTTAGTTAGTTCATTTTAGTTACATAGAATTCCACAACATACATAGACCACAGTGTATTTACTAATTCTCATATTGATGGACATTTCGGTTATTTCCAAATATTTACTCTTACACACAGTGCTGCATTGAATGTGTACACATCTCCTTATGCACATGTGCATAAGTTGCTACATAGCGCTGAATTTCCAGATTTTGGTGTTTTTATTTTCTTAAACACAAATCCTGGTAAAAAATAAAATTTTATGAACCATTATGTACACTGAAACAAAAGTTTTACAAAACATTCTCATATTTTCTATTCCATTTCACTTAAAAAAATTCTGGTCATCCAAACACAGATCCTGGTTTTGTGGGTCCTAAAGTTTATAATTTTGGATCTCTCTTTAGAAAAAGAGCACAAAATTATAAATAAAAATTAGTAACCAGGCCTTGGAAAAAGCTTTGCAAGTGAGGGGGCCTGAAACAAGCTTCATTAGTTTTAGGGTAAATACCCCTCTGAGTAGACACACTAGATTGATTTAATGATTCACTAATAATAGGTCTCTATTAGCAGGTTGATAATCATTGCTTTATACCTAAAAATGAGCTGGCTAAGTTGTAAGATGTGAATACTTCAACTTCGAGTTTTGATAAATGTATATACCCATGAAATCGCTACACTGATCAAGATATAGAACTTTTCTCAGTTGGTTAAGAGCTTGCTCAAGAGTGCAAGCTCTGAGCAACAGCAGTTCGATGCCCGGACTGAGCTGAGCTGCTGCTGAGCTGCCAACAGATGGCAGGATGGCTCAGTTAAAAAAAAAAAAAAGATAATAGGATAATAGAACTTTCTCATCATTCCAAAGAGCTCCTACCTGCCAATCCCCAGGCAACCATTAATCTGCTCTCTGTCATTATAAATTAGTTTTGCTTTTTCTAGAATTTCCAATAAATGGAATTATGCATTATGTACTCTTTTGTGTCTGGCTTCTTTCACTCAGCATAATGATTTTGAGATTCATCCATATTATTGCACTTATCAGTAGTTTGTTCCTTTTTGCTGTTGAGTAGCATTCTGTCATATTATGAAATATTATCCACCACAGTTTATCTATTCATCTGTCAACGTACATTTATGTTGTTTCTCCTTTATGTGTGTGTGCTATGAGTAGAACTGCTATAAACATTCTTGTATAGGTTTCCAAGTAAACATAAGCATTTATTCCTAGGATAAATACCCAGAAGTGTGATTTCTAGGTTATGTGTAAATAAATGTATGTTTATATGAAACTAGCAAACTGTTTTTAAGAGTGGCTGTACCATTTTGCATTCCCATCAATGATGTATTCCAGTTGTTTTGCATCTTTTCTAGCACTTGGCATTATTAGTTTTGTTTATTTGTTTGTTTTGAGCCGTTCTAAAAGTACATAGTGGTAGCTCACTGTGGTTTTAATTTGTATTTCCCCAATGGCTAATGATGTAGAACATCTTTTATTGTGCTTATTTGCTACCTGTGTATCTTCTCTGGTGAAGTGTCTCTTTGAGTCCTTTGCCCATTTTTAAATTGGGTTGTTTGTTTTTCACAATTGAGTCCTGAGAATTTTTTTTTAAAGATTTTATTGGGGAATTCGGGGAGGGGAACAGCGTTGGGGAATCTGGGAAGGGGAACAGACAAGATGTTGTCCTTTTGTTCTTCAGTCAATTTGTGGAGGACATCATTTCACTGGCCCATGTTGATATTATCATTGAGCTCTTCCTGGGTGAGGCAGTTGCTCACCAGCCATTGCTCATGGCAGCTCACGGCAGCGCACACCGGCTGGCCAGCTCCCTGCAGCCTACGCGGTCACCAGCGACTCAAGGCAGCCCAGCTTCAGGTCCAGCTGTTGTTCACTATCTTAGCTCTAGAGGGCGCAGCGTCACTGGCCTTTATTATGTGGGATCCGAACCCGGACCCTGCTGCTCAGAGCTTGAGTCCCAAGCCAACTCCTAACCAATGAGCCACTCAGCTGGCCCCCTGTAAATCTTAAAATAGGGTAATATGATTCCTCCCACTTCTGTCTTCTTCAAAATTATTTTAGCTGTTCTAGTTCCTTTGCCTTTCAAATAAACTTTAGGATCAACTTATCTATATCTACACAAAATTCTACTGGGATATTGATTGAAATTGCATTAAATCTATAGGTCAATTTAAGCAAAATAAGTATCATTACTATGTTGCATTTTCCAATCCATGAACAGAGTATGCGTCTTCATTTATTTAGGTCTTCTTTGATTTCTTTTATCAACATTTGGAGTTTTAAGTGTACAGATCAAGTTCATGTTTTGATAGATTTATATATGAGTATTTAATGTTTGGGGAGCCATTATAAATGGTATTATTTTAAATTTAAGTTTCCATCAGACAACTGCTGGTACATACAAATATGATTGTTTTTTTCTGTTTACCTGATATCCTGTGACCTTTCTAAACTTATGTTTAAGTTCTGTGAATTTTTTGTAGATTTCTTGGATTTTTTTTACATGGACAATTATGTTGTCTGCAAATTGGGACATTTTTATTTCTTCCTTTACAACCTATATGCCTTTTATTTTTTTCCTTGTCTTATTGCACTGGCTAGGACTTCCAGTCCATGGTGAGAGCAGTCATCCTTGCCTTTTTCCTGATCTTAAGAGAAAGTGTTCAGCCTTTTGCCATTTAGTATCATATTAGCTGTACGTTTTTAAAGATTCCCTTTATCAGGCTGAGGGAGTTCCTCTCTATTCCTAGTTTGCTGAGAGTTTTTATCATGAATGAATGTTGAATTTCATCAAATGCTTTTTCTGTATCAATTGATAATGATCATGAGGTTTTTCTTCTCTGGACAATTAATATGGTAGATTGAATGTAATATATATATATATGTTTTGTTATGTTTTATTATGTTTTATAGTCTAATGCTTTACATTTAGATATTTTTGGATAAGGTTGAGACTTATGTCAAGGTTATTATTTTTTTTCTTGGCATGTAGATGTCCAATGGTTCTAAAACCAGTTTTTGAAAAGACCATACTTTTTTTTTTTTAAGATTTTTATTGGGGAATTGGGGGAAGGGGAACAGACAAGTTGCTATCCTTTTGTTCTTCAGCCTAGTTGTAGAAGACATTGCTTCACTGGCCCAAGTTGGCACTATC